TTTTTTCTTTTCTTTTTTTTTTTTTTTTTTTTTCTTTTTGCCTCTTTCTTCTTCTTCTGGTGGTGGAAAGCCCTAATTACTGCGATTGCTGATGGACCTTGGAAAGAAGGCTGCGCCGGTGCCCCGCTCCGCAGTCGGACCCGCTCGTCGCCCGCCGCCCCCCGCCAGCCCCGCGGGCCCCCGCGTTCCCCCGGCAGCCGGAGGAGAGCGCCCGGCTCCCGCCCGCCAGGATCGGATCTCGCCTCGCCCTTTCCCCCTCAGCTCCGCTTGGATTACAGCGCTGCCGCCGCTCGCTGATCCCGCGCCATGGAGGTGAGTTGGGCGCATTGCGGGGCGGCTCCGCGGATTCCCTCAGCGGGGCTCACCCCCCTCCCTCTCCCTCACAATCCCCGCTCCCCGCCTGGAAAAACCTCCTTTCTTTTCTTTCTTTCTATTTTTTTTTTTCTCTTTCTTTTTCTTTTTTTTTTTTCTTTTTTTTCTTTTCTTTTTTTTTCCACGCGGTGCTGCCGGTGGCTGCGCACCCGGTGCCCCATCCCGGCGGCTTTAAAGACATCGGCCCGAACTTCCCCAACTTCCTCGCGGAGGATCGCTGTGGAGGAACCCGGCGCCGGCGCTCCGGTGCCTGTGCCTTTAAGGAACGCTGGCTGGGGGCCAGCCGAGGACCCGGAGTCAGCCCCCCCTCTCCACCCCCCCCTCCCCACCTCCGCCCCCCTTTAACTTTATTCTAAGTTTCTGGAGATTATCACTCTGCATCTGCAGAGGGTCCCGCCTGGGGCAGAGCGGAGGATCGCGGCTCCTTGGGGTCCCCTCGGCGCTGCGAGGACTCCATGTTGGAGAGCCTTTTCCTTGTTTGTTTGTTTGTCGTTGGCAATTGTATGCTAACTCGGTGGGTCACCCAGAGTTCAGGCGGATCGAGCCCCGACGTTTCCCCGGGCCGCCGGAGCCGGAGGTGTGCGTCCTCCCCGGGGGCACCCCGGCCCCGCGCACGGCTCTCCGAGGCAGCCGCCCCCCGCGGACAGCCCCCGGCCGCCCCCTCTCCCCGGAGCCTGGATCACGGTGCCGCCCGCCCGCAGGTAGCAGCGTTGCCGGCGCTCCAGATGCCCTCGCGGCTCTCCAGACGCCCCGTGTAAAACACGATCACAGGCGTAAAGCCGCCGCCTTCATCTCGGCGACGAGCGCGGGATCCGCATGGGGTGCATTAAATACCACAACCCGATCTCCGCGGCCCTACAAAGTTGAAAACGGTGCCTCGCGCTCCCGATGGCCAATCCCGCCGTGCTGCCGGCGAACCTTTTTTTTTTTTTTTTCATTTTTTTTTTTCTTTCTTTTTTTTTTCTTTTTTTCCCCTTTTCCCTTTTTTGTTGTTGATGGCAGCCTGTCAGCTGCTGCGTGCAGCGGAGCCGAACCCCTGGGCGCAGGTGTCTCCTCCCGCTCCGGGAGGCCGAGAAGAGCGCTGGGGGCAGCGAGAGGTGCCGTCGGAGGGCAGCGGCCGCCCGGCGCCCCCCGGGGGCTGCAGCGGCCTAGGCCGCCCCCTGTCGGGAGCGGAACATCAGCGCTGCGGGCCGGGAGCTGTGGGGGGCACCGGACCTCCGGAACGGGGTAGGGAGGTACGAGGCTTTAGGCTCAGAGCCGGCAGCATCGAGCTGGGGTCCCGCTGGGGTCCCGCTGGGGTCCCGCTGGGGTCCCGCTAGGGTCCCGCTGGGGTCCGGTGTCTTCGAAGTTCTCAGGCTCGGGCAGCTTTGCGGCGTTTCTTTAGTGTTGTTATCTGAGGAATTCGTGGATGCAAAGAAATAAACCCCAAACCCACCCCCTTGGTGTTCACGGGCCGTAGAGAGCTCCCAGCACATAGTGCTCAGCCCCATTCCCTGCTCGTTATGTGGCTTTCGGACCTCTCCTGAGCCTCATCCCGTCCGGAACGCAGCGAGGAGCGGGCCGTTCTGTCGGGGCTGAGCCCCGCAGGATGGACGCGGCCGGGCCAGGTTCGCCTGGTTAAGGGCTCCAGGGTGATGGGGACGGTCCCGCCGCGTTCCGGCGCTCTCGTGTCAGCGATCGGTCCTCTTCTCCCGACCCTTTGCAAACAGAAATAAATTAGGGTTAAGAACACCTTGGTTTCGGTATTGAGGGCTTTTTAAGAATGAATAGGGAGCCCCCAAGTGTCGAAATGTCCTTTTTTTTTTTTTTTTTTCCCCCCCCTCCAGGGGGGGGGGAAATTTAAAAAAAAAAAAAAAAAAAAAAAAAGCCAGAACCGTGAATGGCACTGGTTAGCGAGTTAAAGAGTCCCGCGTAAGGACGCAGACGGATCTGCGGGACCTGTCGCGGGAGCCTTGGTCTCCCGGGACGGCAGATTGCTCGTGCTCGCTGCTCGGGACTGCGGGAACCGACCGGACCCGGCGTCGCCGTCGGGGTTGTTACCGCGCTGCCAGCGCCGAGCTCGGGGAGCGGAGGCTGCGGCGGGATGGCTTAGGGGTGCGGGCAGCGCCTTCCCCGGCCGGTGGGGGAGGGCCGGGTTCGGCACTCCCGTCCCGCTCGGGCTTTCTTTGCAAACCTGAAGCTGCTTTTCGCCGGCCGGGAGCGCTCCGTGTCCGCGGCGCTGGCTCCAGAGCGAGGAGCAATGGGGTAAAGCGCGGCCCATGGGGTGCTGATAGCCCCGGGGTGGCGGGGAGGGCTGGGCTGGGGTCCGCCGTGCCCGTCCCGTCCCGCCCCGGCGGGGTGCGGAGCGGTGCGGCCGCCCCGGGAAGGCGGTGTCCGGGGGTGGGGGCGCGGGGTGGCCCCGTCCGGCAGCAGCGCCGCGGCGGGGAGAAGGGCAGCGGAGGCAGCGCCGAGTTAAAAGGGGCCCGGGTACTTCCGTTGTTTAAACTTGAATGCTCGAAAATGGTCTGAGAAGCAATAAACAATCTGATCCTTTTTTCTCCCCCCTCTAGAAATCCACTGCAGTATTAATCCAAGGAGGTGCTCTGGGGACAGTTGGCAGCACAATGGCTTCTCAGTACCTCGTAGTGGCTCTGGCCATCTTCTCCTCTTGTACCCAGGTTGTAATAGAAGCCAGCTCTTGGTGGTAAGCATCTCGTGTCGGCGTGCTTATAAAAGGGGGAGCGAAGTTTTGCTCGATGGAACGTCTGTGTGCTTGGAGTGTACTTTGTTTCTGGGGGAGTAGTGCATGAGGGGACTGCCTGGAGCCGCGTTGGGATGTGCTGTGCTGGGGAATGGATGTGTTTCTGAAGCAAGAGCAATCGTGTAGCAGCCTGTGCTGCAAAATTCAGTTTTTTAGAATGCTGTAGATTCTCTATGGATTTCATCATCCTTAAATTTGTAGAATTGCTTCTCTTCTACAAGACTTGCTTCAGTTCCCTCAGATGAGAGGTTTTGTATATGTGAGAGAAAGTACAGAATTACCTACAAGAACTTCTATAAAATTAAAATTTAGGTTCGAATTCTTCTGCAGCTTGAATATTTATAAATATATTTTGTTAAAGAAGAACATTTTATGTTTCTGCTTTGGCAACTTAACTATTTCTCGACCACGTACGATGTGGGGAGTCGTTGGAATAGGCGTTTTCTGCTCCTTTGGTCGATTCTTTTGGGATGAATCAACACTTTCTAACTAAAATGTATTGTGTTAGTGCTCCTGAAGGGCACTTAAAGAATTTAGAGGACAAAGTTGATTTTGTTTACAACGCTGATACTTCCCTCTGTGCTCACGTGTGCGTTGGGAAGGAGCTGGAAGCAGTATGCAACAAGTTCCGAACTTCTGCCTTCTGAAAGGTTTCCCTGCTTTTGATAGAGCAGACAGAAATCCAGACGTACATCTAAAGTGTATGTTCATATGAAATGAGATCTGGGTGTTTTCTTTTGCTTTTTTTCATTTTTTTGCTTTTTTGCATTTTTCTGCCTTGCCGTTGTTTGGGTCTTCTGCTATTTTCCCTGCGTCCATTTAAGTTAGGGAAAGATTGCCTGGATACGAGTCTTATTTCAGTCCATAATCTGTGGTGAGAGCCACATGGGTGGAACTCATAAGCTCTGTTTTATACTGTCTCTAAAATAAAAGTTTCGTATTTACGTAATTTTTTTCCCTCACCTGCTAGCAAAAAAACAAGGAGTCACAGACTCAGTGTTTATATGTAAAATAGAGTTTGGTTTGGGATTTGTAGACTTTTGTTGTGTTTTCTTTTCTCTTTATTAACCCAAATCTTTCTTTACACAGGTCTTTAGGGATGAACCCTATGAACCCCATGAACCCTGTGCAGATGTCAGAGGTGTATATAATAGGAGCCCAGCCACTATGTAGCCAACTAGCAGGGCTTTCCCAAGGACAGAAGAAACTCTGCCAGTTGTATCAGGACCATATGCAGTTCATTGGAGAGGGTGCAAAGACCGGCATTAAGGAATGCCAGTATCAGTTCAGACATAGAAGATGGAATTGCAGCACTGTGGACAACAACTCTGTTTTTGGCAGAGTCATGCAGATAGGTAGGAAGCAACATCTTTATGATTAAACTCTTGTCTAAGGATATGTATGGCACGTAATGTTCTGCATTTGAAGCTCTTGCCAGGTTCTTACTGCATACTGTATACAACCAAATGTTTTTTAAAGTTGGCAAAGGAGTTGAATTATTTTTAGCCAGAGGTGATTTCCCACCACTGTCCAGCCATGTCTTTTGGAAAGCAAAGTAGGAATATACATCTGCATATGGGAATTCATTCGAAAGGAAAATGGAGCCCTGAAACCTCCTTTTAGAAAACCTGAGACAAAAAAAAAAAAAAAAAAAGGCAAACAAAGAGAATTAAAACCAGCAGCGTCTTGTGAAATGGAAGATGTCCATGCTTAGCTCCATAGTTAGTGGCTGCATAGTGAATTGCTCTTGGTCTGGAGGTTAACTGAAAATTGCTGCTGTCTATTAGTGTTTATGGGCAATTCCTTCTTGCTTATTTCCAGCTATGGTAACTTCTTTTTCTTTGTGAGAGAGTTAGATTTGTGTTAAAAATAACATAGCGGGGTAATCTGCATGAAGTCAGTTCTATCAGGGCCAAATGTGTGATTGCCCTTGCAGGTTGTGTTTGCTGTAAGCACGAAGCTGGTAGGAGGGACAGATTCCTGTGACAATCTTACCATGATTTGGTGGGCACCCAACCCTTTCCCCAAGATATTGTCTTTGAAATGTGCTTCTCCAGTGCTCACGTGCTGCCTGCTTGTCCCACTGTTTAAGGACCACTGTGTATTTTAACAGTCATGGCAAAAATTTAGCTGGTGCTACCAAACTGGGTCCATGGTGGAACCTTCATCTGACATTCCAATGTCAGATGTCAGATACTGTGCAGCAACTGAGAAAGCTCAGTTTTTCTGAATGACAGATTGGAGCTTCTGTGTGCTCAGTAATGAGCGTGCTGACAAACCCAGTGTTGTTTTTTACCTGGGTAAGGTTTTGAATTCGGATCAAAGCTGGCTTCACTTGTGAATGGGGTAACTCCAGTAAAGATTGAAGGAATACCACTAATTCATGTTTGTTCTCTTTTTTTTTTTTTTTTTTTTTTTTTTTCAGGAAGTGTTTTTTATCTGGATATCCATTTTTATCATGATATCCATGTCAGATAAATAAAAGCAATGTATTATGTAAAAGTATCTAATTGGGGCAGCTGGTTTCAGACATACAACCTTCCTGAGGCTTTCTCCAAGCACAGTATTAACACCCCCCGTGGAGCATTTCCTTTTGGCCCAACCTGAGCAGAGATCTACAAGCATATGAAATGTGAAAGGAAACTTTTTCTGTTTTAATAAGCTAACAATTGCCAGTTAAGTAATCTGTTTGAAAATTGGGCCTTAGTCCCTCAGCCCTTATTTGTTATTCAAGCAAGTGAAAATGAGCTCAAGGGGACTGCTGGTGTGAAGAAATGTGCGGGATTGGGCCCTTGATTGTGGTGTCTGTCTATGAAATAGGAGTTTCTGCCCTCCCTGAGTATGATGGATCTATTTAGAGGTGGTTTCTTTCAAGTTAAATAACTTTGCCGCACCCTTCTCCTGGATATGACTGTATTAGCTGATGTCTACACAGCAATTTATCATGTAATTAAGCCACTTATTCTAATTGCAGATGGAAGCAAGGTTAATAGCCATATTCAGGAGTTAAAGATCCTAAAGAGTGTATTCATGGAGAACAAGAAAGGTGTTGTCGGTGCCAGTGCTATTATTTCATGCTGACCTTCGGTAATGACCAGCTGCTGGTCTCTGAGTGGAAGGAAAAATGGGCACTTTTCAAGCCTGATCCAATTTAACTCCGCCTGCCTTACGCTGGCTTGTCGAGGGCTGTCAGCTCTTCCTTGCTCTCACCAATGTGAGAAGGTTGTGGTGCACGTAGTCTGGGAGGGTTTTGTCATCGGGGCTCAGGCTGTTGCTGTTGTGCACGGAATGCCTGAGCAGAGCACTGACTGACAGCGCGGTAATTACCGCTGCTCATAAATGGACAGTCTTTCTTCCAGGATTTATCTGGCAAAGTTAGCTAAAGCTGTACAAATAAACCCAGCGCTGGGTTTGGAAACTCGCTCTGTGGCTTATTGAACTGCAGCTTCAGGGCTTTTGTTCTTCACTGCTCTCCATCGCTGATGGCCCCAGGTCAGGCGCGGTCCTTGCTGCCATCTCCTGGGCCCGGGGCTGGCAGCACTGGGGCTGCAGAACAGTAAAGTGCTAACGTGAGGGAAAAGAGCTGTGTCCTCCCCCCAGCTCGGTGTGCCGGGGTCTGAGCTATTCATGCTGAATGCTTTTCAAATACAGGACAAAGAACATTTTGTATCTTATGGTCAGGTATAAAAAAAAAAAAAAAAAAAAACAACTGTTCTGTTCTCGCAGACTTATTCATATCAAGTGTAAGACTCAGCTCCTTGCTCTGTGGGTGGCTTCCTACAGAGTGTGTATGTTGAACAGTTCCATTTCTATGTGTTACATATATGGGAGAGAAGGGACTCGGACGTGTTTGGAATGTGTGTTTCCTTGCCATGGCTACAATAGAGAGAAATGCTTGGCTGTGGGAAAAGACAGGTTTGACAGTGAAGGAAAGCACAGTTGTGCCTAAATACTTTAAAAAAAAAAAAAAAAAAGGAAAAAATTCAGAGCAACTCATCCACGTAGAATCATCACCCTTCCTGTGTTTGTGGGGTTGATGACTTTAAGCAGTACTGGATTGCAGCCTGGGGAAATCTGCTTCAGCACTTGATGCTGCTTTATAGTTTGCTTAAGGGAGAAAGATGGGGGCAACTCTCATTTCTGCACCCCAGCCTCTCCTTCTGTGTCCCACTAGGAGCAAATTCTTTAAAACATGCTTCAAGGTAATATTGAATATTAGTTAAAAAAAGCCAGCTTTGTGGGTTTAAATCCTGCAATAAACAGCATAGTTAATCACGTGAAAGCACGAGCTAACTAAACATGAAAAAGAATAAAATGGAAAGCAAGAGGCAAGTCCTGTGGTCCAAAGCAGACCACGATTCTTTCCTCTAAATCTAGTGGAAATTTTGCTTAAGGAATTAATCCAAAAATGTGCATTACAGAACAAATGGGAACATTAAAATCTGTATGAGGTTCCCCCTGCTATAGTTTGCAGTAAATGCAAGGCGTAAGTCAGCACATAAAGCCAAATCTTTTTTAACTGAAAAGGCCACTCCTGTAACCCTTTACACCCATAATTCATGTAAGTACTTCCCCAGGCAGGTGTCTGGGAAAATACAGCATTGTAAGTAGGGGGCAAAGTTCTCATCTTCCTTCCCAACATAAGACTTCTGATTTTTCCCATTTAAAAACAGCATCTATTACTAGAATTAATCCAGTGGATGACAGCTGTTACATTAACAAAGCTGCTCTGAGTGTGGTGTCATCTTGATGTTAAATATGGACCAGATTGTGAATTATTTATGTTCCAGAAGTGCTCAAAAGCTCCTATTAAGTTTGATCTGGCATGGTAGGCCTTGTACTAACAGTTTTTGCCTCAAAATGTTGCTGCCTAAGTACATATGATACATCCAAAATGCAGCCTCTTAAAGACTTAATTTTACAGAGTCCCGTGCTGTTCCCTGAGAAACTTGTAAAAGTAAGATTAGAAACAAGCTTGATCTATTGATCAGACCAAAGATTGGGAATAGAACTTAGAAAAACGGAAAACAATTATATTTAGTCTATTCTTAGTCATTCTGTGAATCCTTCTTGGAAAAGATCCAGTGCAATGCTGTTTCCTAAGATGAAAAGCAAACTGCAAGTGGGTTTTCTGGTGCAAGTTTTGTGATTTTTGTTGTTGTTGTTTTTGTTTTTTGTTTGTTTTTGTGTGCTGTTTTTGAAAGCCCTTCTAGTTATAGTCAGAACTTGTTGGATCCTTGGAAAAGAGAGAGGGGAATTTAGGCTCTAAATGAAGGTGGGTTTGGACACTGTTGCGAGGGTGATACTTGGCCATGCCTAGCATTGTGGATATTGTATGGTTTTCTTCCCAACATTTGGATCTTGAGGTTTTCAATTTCCACTTCAGTATCTCAGATACAGGAGAAAACTTTCATAGCTTTTTCTTCCCTGTAATTTGTAAAAGTGATTGTCCTTGCATTCACTTACCTTCATCCATGGGAGCTGGAGCAGCACAGGTTGGTGCTGGATGTCAGTATTGCCCTGCAGAAGGGCACAGCTGATGCACAAAGCAAGGCAACTCTGCCACATGTTTGCTTTTGTTAGCAGGAAGCTTTGCAAAATGCTGTAACTTTAAATAAATTGGAACTAGTGGGAGAAGTGCATAAATCATCTTTGAGAAGCAGTAATTTAGGAAACTGACTTTTTCAACTTTGCATTTGCCTTGTCTCTTTTTCCAGAGGGCCTGGAGACTGCTGCCCTCCTGTTCCTGGAGGCAGGGCTCCTCTGCCATGTCGCTCCTCTAGGCACCAACAAGCAGCAGCCTCTACTCCTCATAAGCACCCGGTGGTTTGGGGGATATGGTATTCACTCGGGTTTTTCGGTATTTTGAACGAACACAATTCAGGGTTACTTTATGCTCTGGTAGGCAGATGAATGTTGGAGGCTCCTAGATGGCTCCTTCCATTGGATGAGCTGGAACAGTGCACTTAGGCCTTCCTGTAATGCCCCTCTTCTTTCCACACAGGCAGCCGGGAGACGGCGTTCACCTATGCAGTGAGCGCGGCCGGGGTGGTCAACGCCATGAGCCGGGCATGCCGGGAGGGCGAGCTCTCCTCTTGTGGCTGCAGCCGGGCCGCGCGGCCCAAGGACCTGCCCCGGGACTGGCTGTGGGGCGGCTGCGGGGACAACATCGAGTACGGATACCGCTTTGCCAAGGAGTTTGTTGATGCCCGGGAACGGGAGAGAGTTTACCAGAGAGGCTCATACGAGAGTGCTCGGATCATGATGAACCTACACAACAATGAGGCCGGGAGGAGAGTGAGTGCCTCTTGTCTTTTCGAGTCCCTCCTTCTGGGGAAGGTTTGGGTGGTCACCTGCTGGCTTGTCTCTGTTCTGATGTATGAGACAAGAAAATGGAAAAGGCAGGTATAGGTGGCTGGAGAGCGTATGCATTCACATTGTTCCTCATTGCCTTTCCCATGGAGCACTGGAGCTGCAATGCATTGTGTTTCCTTCCACGCTGGATCGCCAGCAGTGCCCAGCTCACTGCATGTTTTATTGGTTTGTGTTTCCAGTTGGTAGCGTGTGCTGGGGGCTTGTTATCTGTCTGGAACAATGCTGCAGGATTATTCCCACTTTTTATTTCCTGCTTTGAGAAGATGTGTAAAGCTTCTCCATATTATGAGAAAACATCATCTTCTACGGTTAAACATGTCTTTATGGTTTCTTTAATCTCAAAAAATGCCTTAAATGAGTGGGTGTAATCTTTTTCTTTTTTAATAGTCTGAATACAAAGAGCCAAAGTCATTATTTTCCTAGAGCTTTGACATGCCAGACATAGTTGGCTGGAGACTTTTCACTTGTGTTCTAAGGTGAAGTAGGATGAAAGATAATTGAAAATTAATAGTATTTAAATGTGAGAGGAGGGTTCTGAAAGCAGTGGACAGGCCAATTTACCATTACTGAGAAGAAAAATGACACATTCACAGTTGCTAATAGAGACTCTAGCAGTTTCTCCTTCCTTAGCCTCATCTTTGTGGTGCCATTTGGCAGCACTAAAACTTTCTGTAACTGCTGGGTGGAAGTTGTCTGTGGTATCATCTAATGTGTCAGACACCAGGATTTTTGGGTTGGTGTCAACACCGACTCTTATTTCTATTTGTACAGGGCAAACGACTGATATTTCTTTGCCAAGGCTTTGTAAAGAGGATATTGCTGTGTAGCTCTGTCTTCCACCCATAGGTGTTTGGGGGTTTCTTTTTGGATGAAGTCTCTCTTGCAGAACAGTATTTGGGATAGGGGGATGATGCTGAGCCAAGAGTAGACAATTGGCTGCAGCTGAGTCAGGAACAAGCAGAATCTTAACCCTTTCCCTAATTGCAGCCTCAAGCCGAGATCAATAGAGAGAGTAACTCGGATAGAAAATAAAGGGATGTTTTACATTTCTCAATGAAACAGCGAAATCTTTCTCTGGCACGAGAGAGAATTCCTAAAATTTGAATGCAGCATGACTGATGCTGCTGTTTGGTCGATGTGTGTTGTTGCTACATCTGTCTGTGTGGTGAAGGCAGGGGGCTTGAGAGAGCTCTCCCCACTCCCTTGCCCCTTTGTCTGTGTTAACGGGATGCAAGGAGTGCGTGGTATGTATGTGCTTTCTGCCCTCCCACCCTATTGCAGCAGGGAGGAGAGCGCCAGAGTGAATGCTGTGAGGTGTGAAGGGGAAGGGGACAGAGCACAGGAAAAGAGGGGAATGAATACTGCCGCAGCCATGCTAATCGTTCACCTTCCTTTTTGCTTTTCACCCTGCCTTCTCCAGACTGTATACAACCTGGCTGATGTAGCCTGTAAGTGCCATGGTGTCTCTGGTTCCTGTAGCCTGAAGACCTGTTGGCTTCAGCTTGCTGATTTCCGCAAGGTAGGCGATGCCCTGAAAGAGAAATACGATAGCGCTGCTGCCATGAAACTCAACAGCCGGGGCAAGCTGGTGCAGATGAACAGCCGCTTCAACGCACCTACCATCCATGACCTGATCTACATCGATCCCAGCCCTGACTACTGCATGCGCAATGAGAGCACTGGGTCCCTGGGCACCCAGGGCCGCCTTTGCAATAAGACCTCAGAGGGCATGGACGGCTGTGAACTGATGTGCTGCGGACGGGGGTACGACCAGTTCAAGACGGTGCAGCGAGAACGCTGCCACTGCAAGTTCCACTGGTGCTGCTATGTAAAATGCAAGTTGTGCACAGAGATCGTGGACCAGTTTGTGTGCAAATAGGAGATGGACGAGGTGGGAGGAACTGCAGCCACCTGCCTGCGAGGGGTGTGGGCCCCTCACCCCTTCCACGGGACTTTTTCTGCTTTATTTATAGAGTCCAGTGAGTTGTTGTCTTCTTCTAAGAAAAAAAAAAAAAAAAAAAAAAAAAAAAAAAAAAAAAAAAAAAAAGAGCGGAGGAAGGAAAAAGGAAAAAAAAGAAAAAGAAAAAAAAAAAGAAAAAGAAAAATATAAAGATTGCAAAGAGAAGTGCCTGGAACCCTCTCTACGTCCATCCCAGAACTGTGTGCGTCTTATATTTTGGCGGTAACAGGGGAGAACCTGAGAATATTTATTTTACAAAGTTTAAAAAAAGAAAAAAAAAAAAAAGAAAAAAAAAGAAAAAACTTTTGAAAACAATAGAGTAGCTTGAGAGGAAAATCCAACATATCCTAATTAAGTCCCATGGGGCATAATACATGTGCAGTAGGCAGAGCAACCATGTAACGTGCTTGGGATGTTAGAACCATCCCTATGGATGTGAGGAACACACAGACCTGTCCATGACTTCTGGTTTCAGATGCTAGAAGTTGTCAGAATGGGGTATAGAAAGCTGTTCAGTACAACTGTAAATAAGGGGTGGTGTATTCAACACAAAGTGCAGTGTCAGTTGCATATCTGAATGCGCTCGCGTAAGTACGTGATGTCATTGGAGGGTAAAGAGCAAAGAATCATAAAGGCTTCAACTGCGCTATTCTTGAGTCATTGAATTTAGTTCCAGAACCTAACGAGACCAAAAAAAGCAAAAAAGACACACATACAGAAAAAATCTGCCTTGATGAATAGCAAAATATTCCCCAAAGGAGAAATTGACCTTATTAGCTAGTTGTGGTGTTGGAGTATCTCATCTCGCAGAGCAGCGTTTCAAGAGCCAATGCGATGGTGGCTGCGTGGGGCACGGCAGCCCGGTGGGAGGGAAGCTGCATGCTCACAGGCTGGGAAGCTCCGAGCTTGCCGAGCTGCAGTCTCCCAGCCTGGAAAGCCCTTTGAAAACAGAATTCCTCAAATTTGAAAATGCCTTAAAAATGGTGTAATAGCTGGCTATCTTTCGAAACACAGCTTGACAAAGAACTCCTCTAATTTTATGAGAGAAAATAAATCATTAGATATCCACTCTTGGAATGATTGATTTTTTATTATTTTGTTGCAGATTTTGGGAACGCTTTCACTCGGGGAGACAATAGTTTCATACTTTAATAACACTAACCAGCTATTATAGTTCAAGGAAATGTTGCAGCAATACCAAATTTATCATTCTATGTCTTTAATACACATGCTTTAGATAATATATTGCAGATATACACTACAACTGTTCAGACTGTACTTGAGCAGTTACATATATATGGGAAAACTGTGGTCTGCTGGTGTCTGATATTTCAAAGCTTTTTGTACGTATATATTTTAATGATTTAAGAAATAATAAAACTTCAAATTACAGGGGCAGTTCATCCCCCCATTTTCTTCAGATTTCTTCAGGTTGGTCGGTGATTCTAATGTTTTTGGTGTTAAAAAAATATTTTTGAAAAGCTTTTATAATTCAGAGAAGTAAGCCTCTTGGGCTGTTGCTAGAGGCAGCACCCTGCACTTGAATTGATACCAGTCTGTTGATTACTTCTACTTCACTTACATTGTAGGGGCAATATTGATCATTACTGAAAGGAAACACCTTAAAACTCTAAAACGTGCTGCATTTGGCCCTTGGTTTTTAGTTTTGAAATGGGAATTATTTGATGAACAATCTACATTCCCCCCCAGTGCTGTGTGTTTACACAGGGTTTCCTCATTGGTTCAGATGCCTCTTTCCAGCTCGATCCCATGCAAAAAGTTCAATAAATTGGTTTTGCAGATACCAAGTGAGGAAAATCTTTCACTTTAGCCTAGTTGTACTAAAGCCTTAACTTTTCACAAGCCTATAAGCTGTATCACTAAGTTCATCTTGATCATTTATCAGCTTCTTAAATGGCGCTTTATTGCTCTTAATTTATTGTACGAGGACATATTTACCCCTCATCTTCAGATGTTTGCAAAGACTATCTTTAAAGTAAGATAAATAAATAAAGCACTAATTCATTGAATATGTCACTTTTGGTTTTCATTATACAAAAACTATGATCATTTTTTTCATTTGCTGAGTCACCTCTTGTTCCTTTTTATTGACTTCTGTCCGAGCAGAACTGAATCTCGTGATCCTAGCTATTAAAACACTATTTAATGTAAAATATTTTACTTGTCATTCAGATATGTAAATCTTCTATGTCCTTTCCTCTGTTCTGTACATTTAATGTACATATTTCTGTCTCGCGTGATTTGTATATTTCACTGTTTTTTGGGTTTTTTTTTGTTTTTTTGTTTTTTTTGTTTTTTTTTATTTTTTAAAAAGAAAGGATTATACCATAATGGAAGATAGACTATAAAAATAAAACTTTGGTTGTATATTGGGAAGTGGTTTTAATTATCTCTCAGAAGAGGATTTAAAACAATGAACAGAGCTGATTTTTAAATTTACTACGTGGTAAAACAGGGAAGGGGTTGTTTGCCAAACATACAAAATGCATCTCGAAATTTTATTTCTATATTAAGAAAGCATACAGATGTAACTACTTTTTAAACAGAAGAAAAGACCCCATGCCTGTGAAATGGAAAACAGTTCAGAGATGGGTGAAGGGCTTCAGGGTGAACGCTGCTCCCATGGCTTGCTGTAGTCCTGGGCAGCACAACTTCCTTGTGTAACGGCAGTGATGGCAGCAGGAGCATCCTGTGGTTTCTGAGGGGAATAAGATTTCAGGACTGGGTTTTGTCCGGTTTGAGCCGTGTGTGTGGTTTGTGGGGTGAGGTTGCAGGCCGCAGCCTGGTGGCGCGGGGCTGGCATGGTGACACGCGCATGTTGGTCCTCAGACTTCCTGCCATGAGCGGCGTGAGCGTGGAAAGCAGGGAGGCCTTGAAAAAAGCAAAACACAGCGAGGGACCAGGCTGTAAGGTAGAAAATGAAAAGTAATGTAAAAAACAAACCTTCTTGTTTGGGGATTGCCTTTTCTTTGAATTGATATCCTCAATAAGTCATCATTTTGTTCTGCTTTTACAGATCTTGATGAATTAATGGCCTGTTCTACCTCTCTTCCGCTGCTTCTCTTTTTTTTTCCTTTTTTTTTTTGTCCTTTTTTTTTTTTTCCTCTTTTTTTTTTTTTTTTTTTTTTTTTTGCCCAAGGATAACCTTCTAACGTATCAAAACTCCTTCTGGCTGCCAAGAATGTATTATACCACAAACCAGTAGACCAACATCGTGTGTTTAAAATAGCGATTCTGGGCAAATGTAACGTTCTGTGGTCCTATTACTGACATCTGGTTCAGTTTTCCTTCACTAGTATATTGACCAGTATTCTTTATTGCAAAAACACAGCCCCTATTTAGGAAAGTCAGCATTTTTTTTTTTTTTTTTTTTTTGGACTGGATTGTATTCAAGCTCTTCCCAATAACAGAAAAGTTACCAAAGTTTTTCTTTATTGGCAGCAGTAAATATCTGTATTCAAAATAGTGATTATGGGCTCAGATAGAATTATTTTCAATTTGCTGCAAAGTTTATCTGTTGAATTTTGTTAAGAATACAGTTATCCCCTGGATTTAAATCTTGCATTTTCAGTAGTCTTTTGTTCAGTCATGGCTTTACCAATACCAGTTCTCACCCAAATTTTGCAAGATACTGAAGCCATAGGTGTTAGCAGGAAGCGCACCAGGAACAGGGAACAAACCCAAAGAAGTGAACAGCATTGCCTGCAAAGAACAGCTGAAGCCCTTTATTTTCTTAAGGACACATTTCATAGAATGACCTGACAAAGGTGGTACAAAACTTGTAGAACTTGGTGCTGAAGCTGGCAAAAAGTCTGCTTTCCTTTTGGGTAAGGGCTCTTGCAAAATGATTTCTAAACCCTTGGGATATACTTTGTAAAATGGTGGTTTTACTGACCCAGGAAGGACCCTCATTTTTTATTTTTTTTTCTTCTTTATTATATTGTAGAGCAAACTATGAAAACAAAGAGTAAAAGAAAGGTCTTCTGAATATATCTACTTTTGTATATAGATTATATATGTACTTGTTGACTGTAGTAGTCTTAAGATTGCTTATCTAAGAAAAATAAGAGAGAGAGAAGTAAAAGAAGAATATTCCCTCCTGCTGCAGGCTCAGACTTATCTGTTGATGTTGCAGTGGAAGAAACAAACCACGGAGGAGTGCAGTGAGGGGTTTGTAAGTGGAACCTTGTTTTTTTAAAGGTATGATTAAAAAAATCAAATCTGTCTCATTCCCTGCTCTTGTATAATGTTGCGTGTGTGCATTTGTGTATACTCTGCTGATATTTTCCAATTGTGTTGGCCAAATTCTGCTTTTAGTTATGGTTAGGCATCTCTCCTGACTTTGGTGGTGTCATATGAGCCTGACATTTTTTGACCAGACGTGAAGGTCCCCTTGCTCAAAGAGAATGCATATGAAATGTATCAGCCTTTCTTTTGCTGGCTGCTTGTTTAAACGTGGGTAACTGAATTATTGAGAAACAAATTCTGGGACTGCAGCTGCATAAGCAGTAATACAGTATATCCGTAGTGATGTTTCTATGCCATATTTCCTAATTTCCCCGTCAATTTCCAGTGCAGACAGCCTAGAATGCATGTGGTACATTCCTCCTGACATATTTTATAAGTGTAAAATAATTGTCAGTCAATGTTTCTATTGTAGAGATAAAATCAGCTATTTTGGGCCCTCATTATGTTTTTCTGAAGAGCTCTTACCTGTGGCTGTATTGAATGTTGTTGGCTAGGAGCATTGGTGAACAGCATGATGTGAAGCTGCTTTTGGTAAAGTCTCTGGAACACAGGATGTGCAGCATGAACATCGGTATACTGTATGCTTTTCTAGCCAGTGTTGGTTTACGTTGTGTTGTCTTTCCCAGCAGTCTTGCTTTCTCAAATGGTAATTGAACAGCAGCAGTCAAAATACTCAGCTGACAGAGGACCTCTGAACACTCCATAGGCAGCTATTCAAACACTTTCTGAACTGGTTTGACCCACTGCTGATTTATTCCAGAT